TTCCACCCAACAAGCCCAAACCCAACCACAACCCGACAACCTTGAACTACAAGACCCTAAACCCGAAAACCTAAACCCCAAAAATCCCCAAATCCCAAACCCCAAAACTAAAGCTTGTACCTGATAGGAGCGCAGCATCTCCTGCTGGTCTTCCAGCCTCTTCTGGGCCTGAAGAAGACTGTGTCAGAGCTTTGCCGGTTGGGCTCCAAGGTCCACGGCTTTCAGGTCGGGTTAAGGCTTAGCGGTTTGCAGGGCTGGGCTCGTGATTTCGGGCTCCGGGATTCAAGGGTTCGGCTGTCGGATTTTACAGAAACGTTGCGGGATTTTCAGGGTTCGAGCTTGTCTGGTGCGTAGGTACAAGCGTCGAAATGCAGCCGGGAGCCTGGATGACTGGAAGGGGCTGTCGTGGTTCTTATTACTTGAAAGCTCTATGTTGAATACGTCACGGTCCATTTTTTTAAAGAATTCACTCCAGAAGCTTATGTGCTGGAAGAGGCTAGTTAAATAGGAAAGGCTCCGGGTGCCACATTCCCACCATCTCAACCAACATCATTACCATCATCATCGCACGGGGACAGTCAGTAGCATCCTTATCATGATCATCACCAGCATCATCATCGTCGTTGCCATAACCATCACCAACCCAATCATGCTCATCATCACGATCATCATTATTCCCATCATCACCACCACCATACCAGCCCTCTGAATATTAACATGAAAAAGCCTTTGCTATAAAAGCAAAAAGCTGTATCAAGAGGAGGTTGCACCAGTCTCAGTGCTAGTGGTAGCACTCATTTAGGACCTAGAAAAAAGAATTCTACTGCCACAGAAACGGAACAACGAAGTAAACGCAAGGAATAGAATCTACATCAACAATCGGTGGCCGACTTGGAACAAACATTCAGGCCTTCATCCACTCCTTCCTCCTCTCGAGCTCTTCACGCTCTTCGTACCAGAGCTCCTGTTAGCACCGGCCATCTAAGCCTAAGCCCGAAACCTCCATCTCGAATCGGGGACTCCTAAGACGGCAGAACTGAAAGACCGCAAGCACTGGGAAGTTCAGAGACCTTGCCGAGCTGGTTTTGCGGGGCTGGCACTCTGTCTAGTCTGAACAATCGGGGTCATCCCGACAGTCTAGAAATCAATGTCGATTTCATCCGGGCTGGAGTGACCTTCGCATTGGAATGGCGATTGTTCTGGAACCGGGGTCCGCATTCGTGCTGCTCGGACAACTCAACATGCGATGGCCCGCAAGACTCTCCTGTGACCTTGAAGAAAAACAGCTTGAATTCCGAGTAGATCTGGACACCCCTTGAAACTCGGAACCGAAAAGCCAGACAAACAAACACTGCAGGTCCGAGTTTCTGAGGGCTGAACCTGACATGCCAAAGACCCAAGCTCTTTCAAACACTCGAGTCAATCATTGCTGCTGGGGGCATTGTTCTGAAATCCATCTGGAATGGGTCTGGACATCCTGCTGCCCTCGCCAACCCGAAGCTCTGAAAAGCCAAGACAAGAAAGTGCTGGCAAAGTATCGTAAAGGATTTAGAGACAGGCTCAATGCATCAGAGGCTGGCAAGACCGGCCCAAATCATTCTCAAACCCAGACGAGGAAGCTCCCTATGCCGGGGACCCAGCAGCTAGCTTCCGAAATCCTAAGACCCACGAAATCGAACGCCTGACAAGTCCCAGGAAACTTGCTCAAGATGTCGCAAGCCTTTTCAAACATCCCGTAGCAACATGTCGAAGCTCCGCCCAAATCTCGAAAGCTATCGGAAACAGGTGTTCAAAAAAAAGTACAAGCCAGCCAGAAGACCATATCCGATCTGGCGCCTGCAGATTTTGTAGGTCGCTACGTACTTGCCTGGACACTGGACACCCAAGCCCCTAAGCCCAAACCCTCCCAAAAAACCTCGGCTCCTCGCGGAGCTTCTCTCGCTCTTGAGCCTCGCGGTTCACCCGCGCCTGCTTGCTGCTGAGCTCCTGAGCATCATTCAGGAGTCAGGAATTCTGGGAAGTCTGAAGCATCTCTACGATTTCGGCACTCTGTGTTCTCGTCGCGCGTTGGAGCAACATCTTGCTGCTATTGGGTGCAATTAGCATGTTGCCTTGCTTGGGAAGTGCCGCCATCCGAACGAGGCCGGAGCAGCAGACCTCCAGAATCAGCTTACAGAACCCGGGAGTCCGCGTAAGCCAGGCTTAAGTCTTCACTATCCGCATAAGCGGAGACAGAGCAGCAAAGATCCCAAGCAAGCAACCCTAAGCCCAAGCAACGGCCCAGTAGAAGAGCCCTGTGCTCCGCAGCCTTCTCTTACGGTTACTTGCACTTTTGGACATGCACACATCAGTGCTCCGCGTCTGCCACTTCAATTTCGCACATACGGTTCGAGGTATCGAATTCACCATGGCTGCCCATGCTGGCAATGGGACCTTAATGGCCCTAGTCATGGTAAGCTTAGAGGCTTAGAGTAGCCCAATGCCCTCATGCCTCCAACTGTCAAAACACTGAGGAGCGACGATGGAATCCTATGCGAATCTGCTTTAAACAAGATACTGTCCAGCCCTAAACTAGGCCCTCAATTCAAGCTCAGGGGACCTGGAGAACTCGATTGCGCTCCGCCTCCAGCTCCCGCTTCCTGCACAGCGTGTGGAGCTGTTCTGTACACAGAGCTTAGAACGAACGTCGAGGCTTTCGTGTCTCTGGCTGTCTCGCGGTGTTGTTACACTCTGCTTTGCATCAAGGTTCAGGGGCGGTTGTAGCGTGCAAGGCTTAGCAACGGCTTCGCATGGTATGTGCCGACTTGTGTAGATTAACGTCGTTGACATCAAAGGCAGTTAAACCGAAGGCTCAGATCTACTTACAGCCACCAAAGTTTGCAGCTAACGACCTATGAGCCCTTAGGGCGACAAACTACCCTGAACGGCCAAGATCAGTCAAGATGTGAAAACAGACAGCATGCCCAGACTTCAAGAAGCTTCCGCACACTGCACACGCGGATACATGCACAGCAAAGTGTGGAAACTGGCAAGCAACTGCCGGTATCAAAGAGCTTAGAGACACGCGCAAAAACGATGTCGAGATTCCGAGCCCGAGGCTCTTTCGCCACTTGCTCCTCACGTGAGCGCTTCTCCCTTGCATAGGCCTTGGTGCCCGAAGGCGCTTGAGTGCAGAGCTGCAGATGCAGAGATTTTCCCATAGCAGGCCTTCAGAATCCTTCAGACCTCCCGAAGACCCCTGCGAAAGCTCCGAAACCCCGAGCGAAGCATCTCAGGCGCAAGCTTCGATTCGCTGGTCTTCCTCCACCTGCCAAGGCCCCAAAACACCTGAAGCCCACACCGTACTGAAAACCTAAGACCCAATCAAAACGAGCAGCGATGAAGCCCAAAGCCAGAGAACCCCAAGCCGCCCGGAAGCCCTTAGAGGGTCCGGATCCGGGGGCCTTGAGGCCAGGAGGGGCCCCGAAGCCTGCTTAGGTGACTGCAAGCGCCTGAGCCCGAAATCCTAGACCGGGATACTCAAATCCTCCCGTTCAACCGTCTACTGTAGGAGTCTAGGGCGAGGCTTGGGGCCATCGAACATGATCAAACCAACTCCTCCTTGCCCAGACCCGCCTGCTGCTTCTCGTCCTCGCGTCGGCGGTCCAAAAGGGCCTGGTGGTACCTGCCAGCTTCGGATTTACCTGAAACTCCACATCCCAAGTTCAAACCCGAGCATGAGATCAAAACCCTAAGCTTTCGGCTCCAGGCCAGAAAAGTTAAGTCTGCAAGACCCAAACCCCAAACTCCAACTCCAAGTCCCGCATTGACTACGCAGCCCCATCAGAGAATGATCACATGCCACGGCAGCTACGATTCGACGATTCGATCTAAAAGCCGGACCGTGGAAATAAGACCGCCAGGTTGGCACCTCAGAAAGCGTCATCTTGCAGCCGGAACCCAAGCTCGGCCGCATTAGCACGCACACGGGAGAAGCGGCAGATGATAAAGAAGAGAATTTCGGCTGCAGCGAATGTGGTAACAAGTGCAATCTTGGTTGCACCAACTAGGCTTATTCTGAATCGAGCATGCCAACACGAAGCGCCATTTTGTTGCGCCAACTTCGGCTTATGCTGAAAGGAATATGTCGACAAGAAGCACCACTATGGTATGCCGACTTTGGCTCAGTTTGAACGAAGCTGCGAGAGACCAGCTAGCTTGTTACACCAAGGTTCTGCAAAGCTGAAAGGCACATAGCTCGTCCTGTGGACAGAGCCACTTGCTGCTTTGTTGGTTGTACTGCTGGTTGTGGTTTGTCTTTTCAGTTTTACCTAAACCCGACACCCTCAAACACTATAGCCCACAATTTCCAAGCCTACGACGATATGCTGCCACCTATAGCATCCTACACGAAGTCGGGGATGCGGGCGGCCGAAGTAAGGCCAGCTGAAGTCTGTGGTTCTTGAAGTTTAGGGTTTGGGTTCATGGCCTTGGGCTTTCGATTTTGAGATGAGATCAAGAGCTGCATTCACCTGATGCAAAGCAGTGCGAAGAAGAGACTCCTGGTAGCACATGCAAGATTATCGTCCCCGCAGTCTTCAGAACATACGTACAGTACTGCATGATGCTGCAGACAATAGAAGGGGAGCACTCCGCCAGGATTCGGTTGGCCTCCTTCTTCTTCTGCTCCCTGCCATGAAGGAGTGGAGCACAGAGGCTGTGAGCTCAACAGTTAGGGCCAGCTAGGGTTTATGCACCACGAAAGGGCTGCATGGCGTGAGGGCGGGTTCAGCAAAGCCTCGCGGCATTTTAAACGAAAGAGTGAGACACGGTTGGGTTGAAATCGTGGTTTCTTCTGCTCATGGGCTCCATGTGGCCTTCCGAGCTGCAGGGCAATTGCTGTAAGCCTCACAAGCCGTTGCGGAAGGTACGAAATCTCGGAATTCAATCCTCAAACCCGTGTGCCACAGTCCAAGGTCCTCCGACATCCGAACGCCGTAGCTTAGCTTCGCATCATGGACCTGGCTGCCAAGTCCCGCAAGTCCTCCTCCATGATCTTCGCCACGACATCCTGGGAGCCAGAGTTGGGAGCCGACATCCCCCTCAACACCTCACATGCACCAAGAACAGCCACAGCCGCGACCACAACCACCGCTCAAATTTGTTACCTGCTGTGACAGCGACTACCTACACTGATACACGAGCAAGGAAGCTGCGAGCTCTCTGCAAATCGCTACGTACGCTCCCACAGAGGACTGCATTCCGCACTTCTCAGCCCTACTCCTTTCAATCCTCAAAGACTGCAACTTCGCACCGAGAAGGTCTAGGTGCTCGAGCCTCGAACCAGCCTTTCCGAGCCCTCCATATAATGACCCTCGCCAGCCAAGTCCAGAAACAAAAAAGCCAATGATCCCTCGACTAAATCGCATACAGTATCTGTCCATGTGTGTGTCTGTGTGTCTGTCTGTGCGCGCACTGAGTGGATCGACATTCAGCAACATGTGCAGTGTGCACTGGCTGGATCAGCGTGGAGAACATGTACAGTTGTAAATCTGTAAATGGGCTGCATGCCTGAGTTTTTAAGTATATCTACATAGACCTAGACATACCTAAACGTAAACATATGCCTGCAAGTTATGTGTGTATATACATATTATATAGATGCATGCACAGTATGCACATACATACACATCTAAATTACTTTGTATATACTTATATGCACGTATAGGCACACGCACATGCACACATACACGTGGACATGCACATACTCATACCTTTACACCTACTCCTACACATACATGCCCACGCAAACAAACCCCTACACATACCCATACACGTTCACCTACACCTGCACTTTAAACCCACACCTACACCCACACGTACACATGCCCGTACACGTAAACCGGCACGAGCCTGTACATGTGCACACACTCACACACATGCGCATGCACATGCACATACACACACACACACACGCACACACATGTCACATATGCACACGCACACACATACACATACACATGCACATGCACATCCGGACATACACATACACATAGCACACCTACATGCATGTTTCTTTCGCAAGGGTAAGAAATGGAGGAGCGACCGCGACCCCCACGCTCATTTCGCTCTCTCCCTCGCTAATCTGTGCCCCCATACAGACCCTCTAAACAACCTTGCGGACTCCTACACAAGGACAACACGACCACTGAAGAAGCCCAATAGCTCTCAAGCCCAGCAGAATCCCAGAAGAACCCAAAACGCCGCGGAACCCTGTACCAATATGATTCTCTGGGAACCTACAGGACACCTCACCCCATACGAACAGAACCCAAAAAGACCAGCCCACTGTGACGCCTCGACCAAAGCCTTGTCCTTCTCAAACTCCTGGGCTGCCTGTCGTTTGGGATATTCTGCGGGTCTTGATCTCGAGGTTGGGATGTCGAATGTTGGGTTCAGGGATGCGGTGTTGAACAGGAGGTTTTAAGCTTGGGGATCTAGGTCTAGGTAGATCTTCTTTGCAGCTTCAGGCGTGGAGGGCTGGCTTCATCTTGTTGGATGCTAAATTTGTCTTGAGCAGTCTGGTCATGAAATCTTACTTATACACTTTGGCCTGAACTGGACATGCACATAGACTCGAGACCAGAGGGGTCGTAAGAAATGGGATCTAGAATGGGCTGAACTGACAGCACGCAACTTTGCAGACCAGACCTTCGGACTGTCACTCTGGGTAGCGATGCTACTTCCGAGAAACCCTGCAAGCTGCCATTCTTGCCGAGCACTTCCAATTCACAGCCTCAAGTGTTTTATCGTGTTGAAGGAGATCTGGACACTGAAGCCGAGAATCCCGAAAAAGCCTCCTGCCGCAGCTCCTTCTGAGCGAGAAGCTCCTTCCAGCACGCTCAGCTGCTGTTGCGCGAGTTTGGGGTTTAAGTTTGGGTGCCGCGTCTGTCCCAATATTCCGGTCGAAGCAGAACTGCGACCAATGTCAGAGACGTCGCCAAGACCATCATCAGTGAATCAATGATCACCAACGTCACCATCAGCAGCAGCGTGCTCAAGATTTTGTTGTTGTCGCTACTTTTGTAGATTAGCGTCATTGTTGTCGTCCTCGTCGTCGTCGTCGTCGTTGTCGTTGGCATTATCATCCGCCGTGCCATAAAGCTACCCTCATCCATCGGCTGCTGCCACCTGGAGCGAACCTGAACCATCCCCAGACCTTGCAAAGATCCTTGAGAGAAGCAATGCTTCAGGGCTTTGGGTTTAGGGCTTCGGGTTCCTGGAATCTCACGGGTCACAGCCTGGGTCGCAAACCCTGCCCCCAATCCTGGTTTTCCTTGAGCATAGCTTGACTTGCGAGCACCTGGCATCATTGGGGCATGGGATGGTTTGTGATGTCTCGGTGGATTCTTGAGTAGAGTTGGCAATAAGGAAACCTGAACAGTTCAACCACATAGCATGTTGGGGAACCGCGTGTTTTGTGGCTTTTGCCAGGATTCAGTAGTCGAAAACTTTAAACAGGATTGAGAATGCGGCTTGAAGGCTCACCGGCTCATAGTCCAGGAGCGCAGGGCCCAGGTTTCAGTCTACTGCACATGCCGGGCTCGAAACCACCACGCCTGTCCTGGCATGCGGAATCTAAGTCCTGAACCCCGAAACACCGCCAGCGATCTGGACAGAATTTCGTGGGACTAGGTTGCGCAGTAGGCTTTGAGGTTCAATGCAGGAGCACATGGAGTAGGCACGGCACTAGCAAACTCTGAAATCCAGAATTCAACCCAAAGCAGGCAAACAATCAAAGCTGGCTGCTGATCCTAGGGAAGCAAGACTGAGAGGCCGAACATAAAACGTGAACACCGAGGTCCCCACGGCTTTAACCCCTGATTTCGCACACCCTGAGTCCCTTAGCCCGAGAACCTAGACACCATGAAAGGCAACACCTCGCCAACCTACAGCCAAAGCCCTATCACCCCAACACCCAGAACAACCTTAACCCTGTCTGACGAAATGCTGAATACACGCTAAACACCACCCTACACCCCGACAACCTGAACATGCCAGTCCGCCTTCTGCTGCTGCTCCTGCATCGCTAAGCGATCAGCCGCCAGTCGGCTTGCCTGGCCACGGCTTCGAGGTTGAATGGACTTGAGGGGGTGTCAGGTGTTTAGCTGGCTTCGGGGTTTAGGGGTGCTAGGGGTTGCGGCTTTAGGCTGACGAGTTCCGAGGATGTCATGGTGTAAGAGTGTGAGGACCAAGTGCTTTAGGGCGGGGCTCAACGGCTTGAGGCTTAGGTCATGGCTTAGCATGGGACACCTAGACTTTAAGCCCAAAGTCCGAAAACCCTGCCAGGTAAGTCACCTTAGCACTTCACCGCTGAAAATCGAAGCTAAGACTTCCACTCGGACAGTAGGGCTGAACAGCAAAGTAGAAGCGGGTTGGATTCAAATTGCAAAGTCCACCTGGCTATCAAGCATCAGGCTGGGCCCCAGTGGTCAGGGAACACAGAGACCCGTCGGCAAACATGCCTTTCAAAACTCCAACTCACAAGACAACAACCCAGCTGTGAACAATAACAAGCAAGCGAGGCGAAACCTTTCAGATCTAGATCTTGATGCCCAGCTTGAGGGCCCCAAGGTTCGCAAGGAGTGCAGAAAACCCCAAAGTAAGAATTCGTTGTTGGTGGCCTCGACCAGGGCATCGTGGGCCCCCTGCTGCTCTTGCTCACTGCGCTCTCGATCCTGCCACAGGTGGTCAGATTCAACAAGTTTCACCTGATGACATGTTCTGACAATGAGGTCACCTGAACTTGGGACCGTCCGTTGTTAGGTCGCTTGGTGCTAAAGTGTGAGATGATCTGCGTTTGGAGTTGCTTTGGTGTCTTGGTCGGGGCTTTGAGGCTTGGTTCTTGAAGGTTTGAAGCGGAGGTTCGGGCACACCCTCATTTGGCGAAAACCAATTGAAATTTAGAACACAACAAACAGCACGAAGAACTGTAACCAATTTGCAATTCCGGTTCATCATAACCAGCGGGCCAAGAAAACGGAGGACCAGGGAGCGCAGGATCCGGAGACCACGAGACCGGGGAAGCACGGGACCAGGGGACCCCGGACCGCAGCCACGGGACCAGAGGCCCAGGGGACGAGAGGACCAGGGACCAAGGCACCAGAGGACCAGGGCTTGCGGGCAAGGCTTGGCCGCACGTTGGAAAAAACCATGGCCAGCGACACACACACACACACACANNACACACACAAAAAAAAAAAAAAACACTACCTAAACAAATAGGATTCCTTTCAGAATGTGATCAACCGGAATCGCCAAATCAAAAGGGGGTGGGGTTAAGAAACCGGGTTCGCCAAAGGAGGTGGCGGGTTTAGCAACTGTAAACAATCAGAATCGCTTAATGAGCAGGCGGGTTATGTAATCAACCGCGATCCCCACATGAGGAGAAGCGCTGTATGCTGAACCGGAATCAAGGAGGGAGCGTGATTCGGATATGTGATCAAACGGGATCGCTAAATGAAAGGGGGCGCATTTTAAGACATGTAAACAACCGGGAGCGCCAAATGAGGGGGCACCGTTAAGACGTTGGATCAACTAGGATCGCAACATGAAAGGGAGTGGGGTTAAGATATGTGATCAACCGTGTTTGCTAAAGGAGGGGCGGGTTTAAGAAATGAGATGAACCGGGCTTGCTAAGTGAGTTGGCATGCTTAAGATACAGAATGACGAATCGGGATCGTCTGCACAAGCACCCCATTAACCCTATTACGAGCTAGCGTTACGAAATGTGATGAACCGTGTGTAAGAGATGTGATCAACCGGGATGGCGAAATGAATGGGGTGGGATTAAGGTATGTGATCAACAGTGTTCGCCAAATGAGGGGGCGCATTGTCAAAAATGTTCGTCAAACGGGATCGCCTACTGAGGGAGCAGGTCTAAGATATGTGATCAACCGCGATCGCCAAATAAGGAGGAGCGCTCAAGAAATATGCTGAACTGGGATCGTCAGCAGAATCGCCAAACAAGGGGTCTGGCCCACAACCGGGATCGCCGAATGAGGAGGTTGGTTACCGGCTAGTTTCAGATGTTTTCCTCAATGGCAATCAAGCCAAATGCGGCCGGCGGGGCTGCGCGGGGGCGGGGTCACGCGGTCGGGCGGCAGTCTAGAAGGTGCGTGGCCGCGCAAGAATCGGCCTACTATGATGCCCCCCAGGACCGGTTTCCGGCTAGTGCCTTTCCTTGTCGTCAGGCCTACGTGACACGAATTGCCGAATCACGTGCTAGCGTAAACACAAACGACCTTACCAAAAGAAAGGTCAAGCATCTGGAAGTGGAACCGCGCGGAAGCTACACGACCGGCCAACCCTTCAAGCATACGCATTCTGTTCCGTCGACCTAGAATGCAACGCATCTCTCTTACACCGCACCTTGAAAGTAAGGAACCTGTGTTTGACACTGTAGCTCAACAGCCTGCTTCTCCATGAGCTGGCGGGCCCGAACCTGTACAGAGCGCAAGTGTTATTTGGTATTGGTTGGTTTGGTGTTGTAAGTGGTGCCAGTGGCGGCGGCAGTGGAGGAGGCGGCAGGGCTGGTGGTAGGCGATGAGGCGAGTATGAGACATGGACGATGACAACTACGGTCATGCTGATCATGGTGAAGCTGGTGGTGATAAGGATTATGACTGATGATGATGATGATGATCATGATGATGATGATGATGATGATGGTGATGATGACGATGCTGATGCCGATGATGCCACTGCTGCTGCCGCCGCGGCCGCCGATGCTGCTGCTGGCGCTCCTGATCCATGTGGTGCTGGTGGTGCTGGTGCTGCTGCTGGTGCTGGTGCTGCTGCTGGTGCTGGTGCTGGTGCTGGTGCTGGTGCTGGCGCTGGTGCTGGCGCTGGTGCTGGCGCTGGCGCTGGTGCTGGCGCTGCTGGCGCTGGTGCTGGTGCTGGTGCCTGTGCCGGTGCCGTGCCGCTGCTGATGCCGGTGCTGGTGCCGGTTGGTCTGGTGGTCTGGTGGTCTGGTGGTCGGGTGGTCTGGTGGTCTGGTGGTCTGGTGGTCTGGTGGTCTGGTGGTCTGGTGGTCTGGTGGTCTGGTGGTCTGGTGGTCTGGTGGTCTGGTGGTCTGGTGGTCT